ACACACACACACACACACACACACACACACACACACACACACACACACAATGTAAACATAGTATACGTGTGCTTGAAAATCTGCACACATCCTACATATGTCCACATGTACGCACAGATAGACATAAAACATGCTCAGTTTAAGATGCACAGAGGCGCACGCAGAGCAAAGGGCCACCAGCACACGCAGTACAAAGAGCAGCACTTGAAAGGGAGAAGGCTGCTCCCGCGATACCGTACTGGGGCTCCAGTAGCCTGACAGGGACGTGAAATGAACCTTGAATGCTGCTACACTTAGCAGAGGCATGGCTGTCCAGACTCAGCGGGGGCCTTAAAATACACAGTGACAGCAGGGAGATGGGCAAAACATTCTCTCAAGTCCAAGATGTGAATCCTTTTGTATGAACCGTGCAATCATTTGAAATCAAGAGTGTGGCCTTTGCAGACCGCGCACACGCGGGCCACTTGCAATTTGCCATCTTGTTAAATCACCAAAATATCAAAGAAACCATTGATTTTCACAACCATACATGTAGATAGTAGCTTCATTTTTGAGAATAAAAATGGCATAATTATTGCAGGCTAATTCCCAAGCAAAGATAAATGTCACCAGTTCTAATTTCCCAGAGGCATTTTGTAACATTCAGTCTTAAAAACAGCAAATCTTTACATCTAGAGATTAAATAGCAGTGAGATATTGTGAATGGAGACATATTAAAAAATGATTTCATCTGAAGTATCACAAAGATATCAAAGTCCAGTGTCAGTTGTTTGCAAAAAGCTGTGCCCGACATCAGCCTCTCCTGTATGATAACAGACCACATCTGCATAAACAGACAAAGATGACATCGTCCCCTATCACAGTGTGGAACAGATACCTGAGGCTACACTCAATCCCTCCCTCTGGCAGCGAGCAGAAAGTGCCACTCGGGGGGATTTCCCACTTCGAATGTTTACACACAGCACAGAAGCAGGGATTGGGCATTAGCTCTGTGTGAGAGCGCGCTTTATAGCCAGCCTAATTTACTACAACATTTTTGAAACGCTGAGTCAGATGATTTTGAGAGATATTGAATATCCCCGGTGGGACACTTGCATCAAAGCTCACCATGCGTGCGCACCCCTTTTATATCTGCTGGTGTGCTTAAACATAAACAGTCTGAACTCATATTTCATTTCAATAAGGCGCACGGCAGATATGCGCATGTATGACAGCACGAGCAGAAATGGGTCAGGACAGAATGATGTAGAGTACAGTTCGGTTAAGAGTTGCAAGGATGGACAAAATATGACCCGTTTTCTCAGGCCAGTGAAAACGGCAGCAGGAAAAATCCAAGAAGGCTTTCTGCGCCGAAAGTTTGCTGTAAGATTAATAGGAGAACAACGAGACTAGAACAAGTCAATTAGAAAGGTGGAACATTTACCTCCACAGTCTGGAAAAACTGCTGACGCTGCTGGAAGACTGTGCCGCTCATCTTTATTTTTCTAGCTTCCTTACAAGTCGAGACGGTCCCTCCAGCATACAAATACACTACGTCAGGAGAAATGTGCATTTGAGTGAATAACTTGTTTAGACACAGGAAATGCAAAGTGCATTTGCAGTGATTATTTTTCTTTTTCTCTCTCTCTGCTCGGCTATCCTTTTCAAATTCTATCTCCACCTTCGCAGCAGGGGCAGGTGGATTGCTGGCCTCTGCCGTGCCCGCCTGTGGACTGCGAGTTTACTGTGGTGCCCGAGGGTGAGTGCTGTCCCCGCTGTGTCACCGACCCCTGCCAGGCTGACACCATCCGCAACGACATCACCAAGACATGTACGGACGAGCACAACATCTCACGCTTCAGCGGCTCCTCCTGGATTAAACATGGCACAGAGTGCACTCTGTGCCAGTGCAAGGTAAGCTGCTAGTCCTGCCGGCAGCATGGAAACAGCAAATTACAGTTTCTCTAGTTCGTGGCAGGCAAGACACAAAAGAAAAATGGCTTGAAAAGTGAGAACCCTTTGTGCTTTTTCAGGGGGCAAAAACAGAGTACTAGTATTTGCAACAGAAAGGCAATTTGTGCATCTTTAACACCTCACAGAAGTTGAATTTACCAGTTGTTGTAAAAGGGCAGTTATTGGGAGCTATTTAGTTAAACCAAGATGCACACAGTAATTGCTTTGGAAAAAAAATGAATCTAATATTCATTCTAAGAACAAGACGGCTGCTGTATCAATTCAAATAAATAAGATATGATGTTCTGTTCCGCAATTATTCCCTTTCTAATTTTGAGTTTATTAGATCATAGATTACATGTTTTATTTATATTTATTAACAAGAATGCAGTTTTCTGTGAAGCAGAACTTTGATACTTTCGGGAAATGTGCTTTTTATTTTTCTTGTTTAGGATTAGATGAGAATGTCTTACTCGGATGCACTGCACTATATTTCTGCTAAATATGAAGCTGCAGTCGGTTAGATTAAAGCTAGAAACAGGCTCTGTCGAGTGGTAATAAACCTACCAGCTCCTTTAAAGGTCACTAATTAACATTTTTAATTAGTTGTTAATTAGGGTGTAAAAATAAGTTATAGGTTTACAATGTAACGTGCTGGCCTGCTTCTTGGTTCGGAGCGGCAACTTGCTGTAAATCCACTGGTTGCCTCGCAACCTCAGAGTGATGACAAGACTCCTGTTTCAGGTCTGTAACCTGAGTTATAATGAGCAATTTTTTTTTTTAAATGTCGAACTGTTCTTTTAAATGAAAATGAACTGAAATTCTGGCAGCGTCATTTTTCCTGGCCTCTGGCTCGGCTGCAGCAGGAAATCATGGATGTATTCTTCCCTCTGCTAAAGGAGCACACAGGTTTGAGGATGAAGTGCTGAAAACGTCTGGAGAAACACTCACATCAGCAGCTCAAGTAAATCAGATGGAGAAAGCTGCTCTTCGTGAGTTTTTATTTTGCAGCGCTGAGCAGTCACGGAGAGAGTAAACTATGCAGGCAATATCCTCTTCATTACCAAATGTGAGCGTAAATTGTTTGCCTGAGCTTTAGGACTTAATCCACCAAGGCTGACTCCCTCACTTGAAATTCTACTATTAAATATTCTCGTCGCGCGTGCCTGCAATGATGTCCGCATCTCAGACAGAAAATAACAGCTATTCTCTGAGGACTTTCAATAAACATCATCATTTTTGGAATCTCTACCATCCATTCATCTATCCAGCCATTTTCTTCTTCTATGCGAGTCAGGGTCGCGGGGGAGGGGAGGCATCTTTAGGTTATGCATCTTTTTTTTGGGGGGGGGCAAATTTTATTTAAGCACGCAGTTTTTAAATTCACCTAAAAACAGTCCTTGGAGTAGCAGCTTTAAAATGCAAGCCTAAAATTAAAAACCTTGGCCTCTTGGATACTTGAAATGCAGCATCCTCACCCTCATCACCAGGCCAGCTAGAGATTTTCGACATTGCTTTGTGGAAATATCAAAAGTGTAAATTTGAAAGTAATTATAAAGAGTCCGTTTTCTGATTCAACAGAAATGAAGCACAGCAATTTTTCATCCTTTTAGTTTTAGCATTAACACTCAGCCTCTTCACTGTGCATGAGTTTTATTTTTTATAACAAATGCAGCATAGTCCCAACTACAGGGACCTCCGGGGTACACGCATCGTAGAAGGGGTTAAACCAAAGTGACTTTGTGACCGTTCACATTTCTCAGTGAGAAATCGCCACCTTGTATCAGTTAGCGCCCAGACAAACTCTAAATACCAAACCGAGTCTGTGCGCCGCAGCACTGCTGTTACCCAAAAATATTATCTGGTTGAAAAAAACGAGCTGCCCTGAGGTTAAATTGTAACAAACTTGTGCCTCTCTTCTTTCTCTTTCTTTGTGTTTCCAGAATGGACACATCTGTTGCTCAGTGGATCCCATGTGCCTTTAGTCCTGGCAGATCTGAAGGCACCTGTACAGTGTTCTCCATGTAAAAAAATACAAAAAAAATACATAAAAAATAACACCATCCCTGTGTCTCTTCACTGTCCTCCTCACAGACGTGGGTCACATAGTGTTTGCGTTGTAAGGATTTGTTTTGGCCTGCTGAATCAGATGGGTGGAAGTTCAGAATAACACACCCAGTGTCACATTGTCAAATACAGACAATTGTAAAAAAAAAATGTAACCTTTCAGGTATTTTTCTTTCCCTTCTGATTAGCCACAGTTGATTGTATGTTCTGTACAGTAAACTCCACCCATCTGGTGCTAAGCTTTAACTCGTAGAGCAAATACTCTATGACCGGCGCCTGCTTCCTCAACTCCTTTATACCAAATGCAAATGTATATCATACCAAACAGATGATGGACTACGGTTTCCTGAAACCCACCACTTTGTTATGTCTCACCACTTAGAGTGAACCTTTAAGGATCACCATTCCCCACTCCCAATCATTGCTACATGAAACTGTAAAATATTACTATTACTGGCATGACTCTGCTTGATGTCCAAATATTTTTTGATTTCTAAATTCTCGATGATGATGATGATGATGATGATGATGATGATGATACATTAGCTAGAGCAAAGGCAGTTAGCATAAGGTTCCGTTGCCACATTTGAGTCGTCTAAATTATGTGGTGCTTTGCAGCATTTTGTTCCATTTCTCTTTTTTGTAATTTTTTTTCCAGCTTGTTATTGTGTAATAGTGAAATAAAGTATTTCCATTTACATTAATTGCTTGTCTTTTTCTTATGTAACAGATTTAACAGATATGAGATTTTATTGGCCATACAGTGGCTTCAATTAGATTTTTAGGTTTCTGGGTTCACTGTTAGTTTGTAAAACACAAACATGCATTACAAAATGTTTGCGATTATTCCAACAAAGAAGAAAATCTGATTAACTTTAGGTAGCAGACGTGTTTGTCTGTACTCATCCTCCAGCATGACTGCACCGATGAATGTATAGCGTGGGAACAAATGGAGAAGGGATTGTAACCATGTGCTGTAGCGCCTGAGCAGATTAGACTATATCATCTTACAGTCTGCATACATAAAACTGGATTTATTAGATCCATGTGGCACAGCATGACATGCAGTAAACTTTGCTGAAGTCTCAGAGTGTAAGACACTGTGACTGTTCAGAGGAGAAGACCCCTAAAAAGGAAATCAGGCAGATTAAAGTCTTAAATCCATTTTCTAATAATTTCTAGGAGATTGAAAATATGCAAACAAAGGTGTGGACAAAAAGTTAAAAACCTCCCCTCTTTCTCATTGCACATCCCCTCCTTTCCTCTCCTTCGATCCTAGTCACTCCAATCAGAGATGTGAGCTGAGCCATTGAGTATATAACATGATGTAGTATTGCTCCAGAGCCTTATTTTAAAGCAATCTCAAGCCCAACTACACCTGTGCTTTGTGAAGTCAGAGGTAACACTGTTTGCATTTTTTTAAATATTCATGGCTGTTTTAATTAAAGTTGCAATGTGGCAAGATATCACACCCTCTGTCTCACACACATACAAATACTGAAAAAAAAAAAAAAACCCAAACCCTGAATCACACGCCTCACAATCATCTTAAAAACCGAAACGATACAAATCACTGCTTGTTTGAAGAATCACCCACCACGGTTTATGTATTCTGGCTGTGTGCCACGCCTCTTTTATATGCTGATGCACAGGATACACCTGCGCATCCTCGATCATAGCTCCTCTGCAAGCCCGCCTTCTCCTCTCTGATCCATTTTAGCAATTCAGAAATCCTTCAACATGGGATACTGAGATTGATTTCCGGGTCCCAGGCAGGAGGACGTAAAAAGAGGAGACGAGGAACCCTACACATAAGAAAAACAGAGGGAACAAAGAAAACCCACAAGCAGAGTGAAAACAAAAAAATGTCTGGACAGCTTGAGATTGTGAAGTCGATCAGACAAAGAGCAAAAGGGCAGTGGAGGACTTTATAGACTATGTCAACTGGCAGACTGGCTACAGGTGAGGCAGGAAATGGCTGTGGAAACTAAACATACAGGGAGTGACTTGAGCATGAAACAAACACACTACTTATGTAGTTACATTTTACAGAGAGATTACCCAGTTTATAAAATATGACGCGTCATTAGTCGATTCAGGTAGCCGTGTGTACATAAAACACTTAAAACGAATTTCCCTTCCACGGGTTGCAGCAGTAAAACATTTTAATGTGAACGCATCGGTCATATTATTGCAGTCACACATTAAAAATGAAATAAACACTGATAGATTGACTGATTATACATGCTGGTGTATATTTGATGCCTTGCACATAAAAGATGGTTTGTAAACGTGCCCTTTTAGAACCATCGCCAGGCTTATGTTAAGATTAGATATAAAAATGATCTGCTTTGAATAATATCTTTTTCCATTAAAAAAATCCAATGCCTTTTTACTACTCCTAGTTCTGTGAAAAAATGAATAACCGGACACAAAATGAGTCCTACCACACTCAAAGACCTTGTTCTCAGTGTTTGTGCCACGCAAGCTTGGCTTTAAGTTTAAGCTGCTCGTGATTCACTTCCAAACTAGCTGTGACGGTGCACACCTTACACTCAGGTTGGGGGAACTTTACGCTTTTGGCTGATGAATTGGAATTAGTGCCACGCTGTGAACGTACATTATTCTGCACAGTGAAGCTCAAACAATTAAGAGAACAAACACTGATCAAAACTAATTTGTTCTGAGGAAAGTCAGAGATTTTGTCCCCCGCAGATATTGTACACTGGATAAGTAAATTTGTGTGATTTATAGATCTAACAGCGTTCTATCAGTGATTGGATTTTATACAAAGCCCCGTGTGGTGGATACACTTTCATGTCTGCATATTTGGATGCAGAGCAACGACTGCCGCAATTGTAGCACACGGATTCCTCTCTCCTCCCGACTTTGTCCTGTGCCTTTGGAGATGGTAGTAATACTTGTATCGCAGAAGAGCACTTAAAGCTCCTAATATAATTATCTATCCCTTCACAGCCACAGACAAATGAGTTCAGCCCGGAGATGGCTTTATTTCCCTGTGGAAAAGTCTCTCTCCACGAACTGATTCTACCTCGCAGCTGCTTACATTAACAAACACGCAACGTAATGGGGGCCCATTTATATTCCAACACACACTCTGCTCACTTGAGCCTTTTTTTTTGTTTGTTTCTGCATCGCTCTCGCTCCAAAAACTTTTTTTAACTCAGGTTATCATGACTCCAAACTCATCCCTGAGTTGAATGATAGGGCAGTGGACAGTGTGCAGTGGACAGTTCACAGCGGCTGCTCGTTGGTTGGCAAGGGCACCATCTGGCCTGCTTTGGTCCAGTGGCTTCTAGCTGGTGGTGGCATGAAGCCAGTGGGCACCTGAGTAGTGGTGGCACAGCAGGGCAGACTGGTCCTCCAGCTGGCTCCTAAATGTCCAATTTTCCATGGCAGTGCTGAACCCTCTGCAACAGATGCCTGTACCCACGGGGAGTCCACTTCACTGCCTGTCCTATATTCACTGTTAATGACCACACATATCATTGTGATTGTAGCTGGTGAAGCAAGGCAACAGTGAAAAGTCAGTTTTACTTTAAGTGTGGAGTTTAAATCGAGAGAGAAAAAAAACGCATTAGTAATACATTTGGGCTGACATGTCGTTTTCAGTGATCTTATAGCCTTCAAATTGCTCTAATTGGTCTGCAAAATCCACTGCACTCTGAAGAATGAGAAGGGTCTTTATCTGACAAAAAGATACCAGGAGCATGCAATAATACAATCACCTGAAAATCATCTTTTTTAGACTTGGCAATCTCATGCATGTACTATGTGTAGGGAATTACATGGACATGTGCAATTTATAGCATTTGCGTGTATTTGTACCTCTTATCGCTGCAGGGTAAACTCTGTTCATTCTGCTTATTTGTCACAGCTTGTGCGGGATTGACTTAATGCATAAGCATGTAGAGCATGAGCCAAAGCAAGAATGGAAGCCGCTTTGAATTGTCTGTGTTACAGCAAACATCCACACAAGTGCTCACTGTGCCCACAGCACCTATAGCTTTTGGTTCCAGCTTCAACTGTGGGTGCAGCCAAAGGTGCTACAATCAGGATATTTAGTACTGATTATTTCATATGAACTTGTTTTTAATCGACGAAGAACCTCCTCAGGAGATTAACAAAACTGTATTATACAGTTTAGTATACAGACCCCCATTTTGGTTTCAGAACTGTCTTAATTCTTTGTGGCATTGACTCAACAAGTTGCTGGAAACCAGGAGGTGTGCTATCCTGCTGGAAGCAGCAGTCGGAAAGCAGGGAACGCTGTGGTCACAAAGGGATGGGCACGGGCGGCAACAATGCTCAGGTAAGCTGTGGTGTTTACGCAATTCTGAATTGGGACTAAGGGGCACAAAGTGAGCCAAGAAAATATCCCACACACCACCGATAGCAAATCTGGTGGATACACGCGTTCATGATGGTTACACCAAATTCTGACCCTGCCATCTTAATGTCACAGCAGAAATCAAGTCTCAACATTTCTCCAGGCTTTTATTGTCCAATTTTAGTGAGCCCGTGCAAACTGAAGCCTCAGTACCAGTAGTGGTACCCAGTGTGGTCTTCTGCTAGTGCAGGCCATCTGCTTCAATGTTTTGATGCTTTTTCCTCAGTTGCAAAGAGTGTTTTTTTGTTTCTTTAATTACTGTTGCCTTCCTATCAGTTCCATGCATTCCGGACACTCCTCTCTGACTGTTGGCATCTGCGTAATTTTGTGCTGAACATTTGGGGGATCAAGATCTCTGTCTAAATAAATAAATAAATCTGGGTAAATTCCCAGATGATGAAACATAAACATGCAACTATTTTGCTGGTAATACCTGAAATGAGTAAAGAAAATCAACAGCCTATTTATGCAAGATAATTCATAATTTTATTTGGGGGGGGGGGGTCATAACCCCCCTAACCCTCCTCGAAATTACACCCCTGTCTCTTGGTCAGTTGCTATGACTATAACATATTATATAAAACTATTTAAAACAGTGCAGTGTGTGAGTTTTGCAGCAAGGCTTACAATGTCAAGATCAACTTTTTCCACTGTTCACAAAGAAATACGCTGCACAGTGACATATCTTTCTATTAGATATTTTTCTGATTGATATTTTCAGTTTTGTGGGTCCAATGTTGGTAAAAAAAAAAACAAAAAGAGACATTTTTCCCCAACACTGGATTTTATCGTCATTTACCTGCTGCTCCACTGAAGGACATTGCAACTGAATTTTTTTTTAATATTCACCAAGCAGCTCTTCATTTTATATAACTTACGAACAATTTGAATAAAATTTGATCCTCTTCCTCGACACAGGAAGAGTAAGGCAGACATCATTATCACAAACCCACCCCTGGGGTTTCAGTCCTCTGAGTGACTTGTTGGAGGTTCTGAGAGATTTATCCAAGCCACATGTTCCTCTGTTAGGTATCAGAAACCCGCAGAAGGAATTGCTGATGAATTCTCTTTCCCTTGTGGCCACTGGGGACAGAAACCATCTCAGACTTGGTGAAAAGACTGAAGGGAAACCTTGTAGCTGGCTGGGACTGACAGTACTGATAAATTTCACAAGGTCTCTAAGAGTCACGGAGCTGCCAGCACAGAGTGATGGGCCATGCCAGGACATGATACACTGATCTAATTGGAGGATAGCTCAAAGACAGTAGAGAAGATTCCAGTTGATCTGTAGCTATGGCTCATTCCCTCTAGAGAATTTTTCTGGCTTATATTTAGCTCTAGGTCCAACAATAGTGCTTCATATCCTCCCTCAAAAAGCAGTTCTTATGTCTTTTTGGATTTGTAGACATGCTATTGGAACAAATAGTAAATAATGGGGAACATTCCAAAGGTGCCTGAAGTCAGTTTGAAAGAAAGCTTCTCTGTCATGAAAAAAAGAAGCAAGCTAAAAATTTGATTACCAGACAGAAAGGAAGTGATCATGAACGTTTCCAACACGAATGCATCCACGGCATTGAGGGAGAAGTCGATACACTTTTAAGACAACGTGGGTATCAGGCTCCAACACCCCATAAACATTTTTTTGAAATGTCTGTTTTGATGTGCTCTCTCACTTTCTGCATGGTCCTCCAAAAAAAAAAAAAAAAAAAAAAAAAATCAATATCTAATTTCTCAGCCCAATGGCAGACTTGGAAGAGGCCTCAGTAAAAACAGCTAATACACTCTGGCAATGAGATTTATTTCACAGACAAACAACAAGCATCCGTGAGACCTCAGGTATTCACAAATCTGCTTGGTTTTCACACCGCAGGTGTTTTAATATTTACTACTGAAGCAATCTAGCTGAGGCTCTTATTAAAGCTAATTTTGCAGTGAATGGCACAGCAGGATTCAAGTGTTGTGGGTGCAATTACACATCCCGGGATACACGGTTACTGACAATGGAGTGCTGGATTGGATGACACCTGCGATAGCATAGTCTCACATCAGTTTGTTTAACTGCTTCTGTCACATTACAGATTTTTCATAACTCACTCCTCTGTTGTGTTAAACCGGTGGTTGGATTCCAGGCCCGTGAAGCAGCTTTCTACAGCTGATGGATGAAACAGTCACTGTTTAACATGATTTAACCTAAAACGATCAACCACTTTTTATCAGCAGCAACCCCTGCAGTCCCTTTTATCTATTAACAACCACATGCTTTAAGAATGGGTTAGATTTAGGCTTACATGCAACCCTTTTTAATAGAATCTTTGCATATATGTCAAAACAGAAGAGCTTACAAGAAAAAAAACCTGCAAGGCCAAGATGCGTGTATGGGACTTGATCTGAAGGGTAACATCTGGTAGTCCCAAAAAGAGAGTGAAATCCTATATTATAAGCAAGAATATGTACATATAATACATGGATGTCGACACAGAATAGCTCCCAGCTCATTTGAGTCGCCAAACTGGACCACATGACCGTGTTTGTGGTGTTGAAGCATTTTTAATAGAACAAACAATTTAAATTAGAGTGTTTTATAGTTAAATTTGCGATCAGCACATCCAAGAGTCTTAGAAGAATTGTTGAATATTTCCTAGTGAAAGTGAATAACTGTTACATCACAGATCTGTCATAACGCACTCCTCTGTGTGGTATTTTCTCATTAACCACTGGTTGGATTTCAGCCCTTTCTCGTAATCGGCATCTCTTATTTAGACACAGCTGCACTTTGAGATAAAGGGTAAAAGTTGAAGAGCTCACAATAACTATATCCTGGTGTTTATGTCTACCATCCGTGTCATATAAATTTAGCAAATTCGCACAGTAACATTCGCCGATTAACACTAAACGCACAGTGGGCGACTGGCTCTCGTTCACTCTATAAATGTGATCCCTAACATTTGTAGGATTCTTTCAGTGCCTTTAAAAAATTTCGCAACATTCCTTGCAAAATTTCCTCTTGAATCCAGCGTGGAAACAGCAAAGATGAAAAGCCGTACTGTGCCATAATTCTCTGTAACAAAGCACTTTTTTTTTCTTCTTTAATATATTATCAATCATCTCAAGGCCCTTCAGATTTTTCTCTCAACCTCATTGGAGGAGTCCCAACACCACACTGGGAACCAATTCTGTCGGCAGTGAGTTCAGTTTTCATCCCTCAGACATTTTCGATCCAATCTATAACTCATTTACACGTAGACATGTTCTATAAACAAATCCCGCCGGGGAACAAAACAAGTAACAAATTCAAATTGTTTCCCACTGGCATAAATCAAACAACGGACAGGCTCAGAGGAGAACTCATGCTAATCTGAGCTGGGTGCTATGTGTATGCAGGCTACGTATTCGAGTGTCCTTGTGAAGAGATAGTATCATTATTTCTCCTGTTGCCCACATTAATTGGGTCAGCAGATGCAAGAAGCTTGACCTGCACTGTTGCTTGGCAACTATACTTCCCAAGCATATAGAAAAACTGAAAAGCAGAACTTAACTTGCGAGTTACTTATCGAGATCAGCAACCTTGTTCAAAAAGAATTAAGGAAAGTGGTCGATACAGAATGTAAAAAATGTATTAATTTATTGGTAGCACAAGGTTCAACAGTAGTACAGTACACTGTGGAAACACAAAAACAATCCCCTTTGCTTCAAAAAACAGAGAGGAACTTGTAGGAATTGTCAGTTATGCAGCACAACACAATGAAAACAGTCCGAACAAGACAAAGGCCTCACTTTTAACCCAAACAATTACAGCTGCATTCCAAACATATTAGAGCCCCTTCATGTCCAAAGAGGTTCTGCCCTTTGGTAAAACACTAATATCTAATGTCTTCACAGAGCTTTAATGTATAAAAGGATAATTACTAAACCAAGAGCTGCAAACCAATTATGCTGAATAAATTGACCTCTTCACAGAATGGCCTTTGTTGAAAAGAAGTGTAGCAGCAAACACCTACACACTTCACATGTGTCTGCACACACACACACACACACACACACACACACACACACACACACACACACACACACACACGGACTGTTAAGTATAAAACATCATGTACAGACACAAGTGGACATCTCTCTCTCGCTCTGCTTCCAGTTCACATACACAAAAACACAAATGCAGGAAACTCCACTGTGTAATGTTCTACCAGAACAGGACCTCAACCTTAAATAAAAGACATTTTAATTGTTTTTGTCATTTCAAAAATTAAAGATAAAAAAAATGAAACGATAATCCATTAATGTGAATGTAATTATATTAATTTATACTGTAGATAATAGTTTACAAAATGTAAGAAATCTGGTCATATTCTGTTACATGATGACTGCTGTACCTTTCATTGGCAAACAAAGCAGACTATTTGAGAAATATCATATAGATATATGTCATAGTTTCTTATTTCTGCAGCCACAGTGTAATATTGTGCATTATATATCAATGCAGAGTACAACAAGAGCACATGCTATCTTGCGTTGTCTCGGTGCGTACATGTCTTTGTCTCAAATCATCACATTTTCTTGCAAATATGTTCAAAATACTGCATGATTGAGCATCTTTGGTCAAAAGCATGAGCAAGTTCATTATATAATTAACAACAAACTTAATTTAGATGGTTATTTTATTGTATAAAAAAACAAAAAAGAACATGTTTTTGGACCAAACACCCCCCAAACTTAGGTGTACAAACACTTTTACACATTAAAGCCAGTTTAAGCTAAAATGCTGCAGCTTTTAGTTATGTTTGAAATGAGGGTTTCTTTTACAGTAGGATAATGCACCTTTTCTTTCATGCAATAAAACAGGAAACAAAATCTGCTTTTACAACCATTAGCTTTACATAAAGAAGCCCTGAGCTTTGGAGAAGTCACCGCTGCACTTCAATGGTTTACATTTATGTTTATGCCAAGGGCAAAAACCACCTTTTCTCCCTCTGTTGGTATTCAGTAAAGGTGCAGCAGCCGCATAAGCAATCATGAGGTGGCTTGCTGTTTAGCTATTTGATCTCTGCTGATTGCATTTATTATCTTTGCAACTAAAATCAAGTGAGGGTAAATGAGGAGGTCGTCACCGTACACCGATGGTCATAAACACAATTAAAATGTAGTAAGAGTGACATCGCATGAGAATAAATTAAAATGATAAAGTTTCAGGATCAAATGAGGTAACATGATGTCGATATGATAAGAGCATACAGTATGTCAGACATTAGTAAAGCAGATCCGGATGGTCACACAGGCTGTTTAGAATATGCTTTGCGTATCTGAATATGCGAAATATCAAGGCACTGCTGTAGTTATAACACTGTTTTGAAACAATAAAACTCCACTAACCGAAGGTCACATCTGTAGAAATAGTTCTCTGTTACAGGCACCCGTAGGTGTACCTTGACAAAATTGAATTAGGAAAATGTAAAATCCAAGGTAGCACCTGGTCAGTTGAGGTTTTGCAATGGATCTGCTATGTATCAGAATTGGTGCCATTTAAAGACTTTTAAAATGCTTTTGGTACAAAAATATATTAATATGACTGGAACAGCCATCAAGGTTAGGCTAGGTAAATAACACTCTGTCCTTCACTTGAAGAACTGTGTTAAAGATCCTCCTCTGACATCTTGTGCTGTCCTGAATAAACATGCTCGAGTTGTTTACCATTGATCATGTTGGTTCCAACCTGTCTGCAGGTACAAAGTTTCAGAGGTTCGTCAAGTCACGGGGAGAATTTGTGAACATCGAAAGAGACTGCCGGTTCATCCTGCTCCGTGCTGTCGATCACAATGCTCGGATGTGTCTCTTGGGTTTCCATGGAAATCGTAGAGTTCGTAGAGGGTGTCGCTCCAAAGTGCGGCCCATCCACCGACAGAAGCATCGGCGTTCCCGATCGTTTGAGGCTATCGGTCATAGTGACATGTGTCTCCTCTGGCGTCGCGCCCATCTCCTTGCTGTACTCGGATGGCGACTTCCTCTTTATCCTCTCGTAACTCTTGTCTGGATTTTCTGTGAAGGTCTCGCTGTCCTGAAATCGACCAAACAGCCAGATGAAAAACCCAAAGAGTACGAACGCCACTAGGCTCGGAATAAAGGCCAGGCATTTCACATCCAAGCTGGCTCCAATGTAGCGGCTGTGGAGGAACATGTCCCGCTCCACGTAGGTTAAGTTGGTCCTAGGGTCAACGTTGGTGGAGCGCCACTCGTAGGTGAGTGTGCTGTGATTGAAGTCCTTGAGGGTTTCTGGCTCCTCCACTGTGAAGATCTTCTCACCAGGCCCAACATACTGCCCATATTCATAGGGCTTATAGAAGATCTGGTTCTTCCACATGTTAAGGTCCAAAATCAGCACGAGGAAGATGATACCATAGTTGAACCACTTACCTGCAATGAGAATTGCAACTTGGATTAGACCAGGCTTATATTTGAAAGCTAAGTAGCATGCACGCACTGTAAAGATGATTTAAAGCATATCCTCAACGATGTACCACACAAGCTTCCTCCAAACATGGCTAAGAGGGCAGAGTCCATAGATGGATATGCTGTCACATTCATTAATCAGAAATTCCTCTCATTTTGCATGCAGATAGAGGTGGTAGCTCCTCCACGGTATCTCCTAACAAGATCACTATATTACCATGAGACAGCCCACACCACCACTGCCCAGGTTGTCTGATAGCAGGCAGATGTCGCCCCTGGTATATGTGACACTACTCCCTACCTTTCCCCGCGATATGATGCTAATAAGCTTTCAGTTAAACCAATCACGCCGCACCGGAGCCATTTCCATAATGCTTAATGGATATGCAATGCATTAAGGTTAACAACTTTCTGCGAACCACTGAGCCTTTGAACAGTTTAACATTTAGCTCAGGAACACTGGTTCGCCTCCCCTTGATAGTCATGACAGGCCGTGTTCATGTGGCAGAACCAAATAGAGAAACCAGTAGGACGGTTTTAAATGGGAAATACACTCATTTGCAGAGAACATTAAAGAGGCTGAGATGCGAGAGATGATGAGGGAAGCATCTCGCACATCATGGAGGAACGCGAGGAACAGGAAACACAATCGAAGCGGCGTTGGCACCTGCTTTCCACAGAAACTACACATGTATTATAAATGGTTGCTTGTGGTTTAACCAACAAACACTTCCCCAAAGAAAGAAAGGAGTGGAAAAGTAGAGCAGCCACAGCACTTTTTTATTTTAAGTATTCACAATTCAAAAATAGGGCAAATTTATGTCTCCCTCATGGACATTTTCATTTCTTTCTGCTGCCTAATCCATTTCCAACAGCTGTAAAAAAAAAAAATAAAAAAAAAAAATAGAAAAAAACCCAAAAAAAACCCCAGAGGTTCTCATTAAAAAAAAACAATGAAATAACCCCGTTCTTTGTCCGGAGGACCTGTATCTGAGTGTACCTGTGATATGAATGTGGTACTCCTCTTTAAAGATGCGCTTGCAGACAGGAAGCTTAACCTTCACATGTGTTGTAGACATTCCTGGTAGATTCATATCCAGGTCACCCATGAAGTGAGGGAACTCCCAGTCCTAAAACACGCACAAATACAACAGGTTTTGAAAATTTAGCTCGCAATTGTGATGCTGCCACCCATCTGAATACACTGACGTGACTAATGTCAGCTCTGCATCATAGTTTATTGGATGCTGAACACTTCACAGAAGGCTTCAATATTAGTTAATATTAAGACTCAGTGGAGTCTCTTCATAAACTGACTGGAGGTTAAACGTGGTGCCAGCTACTGGAGACGGCAGACGAATCTGTGTGTTTACACGCATGTGGTGTGTACTCATGTGCCTGTGCACATGGGATTTCACCAGATTAAAAAAAAAAAAAAAAATATCAGCAGGCAGCTCAACATCAGCATCTTCCTCTGCCCCCGTGGTGTCACTTTTCTTTTTTGCAAATATGTAGTTTTATTGGGTGGCTGGTAGGTTTTTAGTGAAACTATTCACTATTCATACATAAAACATGATTCATTTATTAGGTGAAAAAAATATTATTTCTTATTTTTTTTGAGTCCTACAGCTTTGCATTTTTAAACCAGTGAAGTACTGAAGAACTTTTTTAGATTAGATTTTATTTTTTTTAATCAAAATTTAACTGAATTCTAATTAATAAACAATATACACTCATCAGCCACTTTATTAGGTGCACACAGCTGGGTTAGACCTCTTTTGCCTTTAGAACTTCATTAGTTCTTCATGGCATAGATTTAACAAGGTGCTGGAAAGACTCCTCTGAGATTTTGGTCCGTATTAACATGACAACTTGAGCAGCTGTCAAATCTGTTACACCTGCGGATTTGACAAGCGCACATTGGTGATGCAAATCTCCCGTTCCTATCCCAAAGGTATTCAGTTGGATTGAGATACGGCGATTGTGGAGGCCATTTAAGTGCACTGAACTCACCATCATGTTTAAGGCTATGTTCACACTGCAGATCTTAATGCTCAATTCCGATTTTTGGATCAAATCCGATTTTTTTGTCTAGTTGTTCACACTACAGATAAAATGTGTCAGCAAACACGCTCTAGTGTGAACCCTCAAAGTGGCCCGCATGAGCAAAAGGAGAAGTCACACACAACGTGCTCTGTTTAGACCCAGAGCAAACACTATTGTTTGACTGATGGCCCTTAATATAAAGACACTTTTTGGACTTTACGTTTCCCAATTTTGCTTTAAGTTGTAAAGTTGTTTTGTTATTTACATATGGCCTAATAATCATTCTTATCGCTGTTTTAGAGAGGAGCGGTGCTTCTTTTTTCCATCTCCTCCCCCCTTTGTGAGTGTGGACGCTTCATCTCTTTGCTCTTTAAATGCTTTGCTTCTTTTATTGATTTTTATGCTGATTTTTTCCCTTTTTTTCGTATGAGCTTCAGTTTCACTAACATCTACATGGGATGGCCAGGAAGCGTCCGCGATGTCTTCTCCGGCGCTGATAATTGGCGTCTGTCTTGTGTCAGTGACGTAAAAAACAGATTTAATGCGACATGACCATTCAAACAGCAAGTCGCTTTAAAACATCAAATCATCGGATTTGAAAATATCAGATTTGTGCTGTTCACATGATCGGATATGGGTCGCATAGGATCAAAAAAGTCGGATTTGATGCGCTTTCGCCTGCAGTGTGAACGTAGCACAAGAAACCAGTTTGAAATGATTCATATGTTATCCTGGTGGAGGCAGCCATCAGATGGGTACACTGTGATCATGAAGGGTTGGACATGGTCAGCAACAATACAGCTAGGCTTTGGCATATAAATGATGCTCAACTGGAACTAAGGGGCTCAGTCCATCCATCCATCCATCTTCTACCACTTATCTAGGTTAAGGTCAAGGGGGCAAGCCCAGACTTCCTACCTCTTCCAGCTCACCTGGGTGGACACCAGGTTGTTCCCAAGCCAGCCAAGACATAATCTCTCCAGCAAATTCAGAGACCTCCTCCCAGTTGGAGCCTGAAACACCTTGCCTTTGAGGTGTCCAGGAGGCATCAGATGCCCAAACCCCCTCAGCTGGCTCCTTTCCCTCCTTGAATTATCAGGGAGTCCTAAAACTCCCTGATAATTCAAGGAGGTGGTTTGTATGTTTCAGTGATCCCAGGAGCTTTTATGTCAGAGGAAATTTTTCCCTGCTAAGGTCTCCTAGATACAAGGCAAGAAGACATTTAGGATCGCCTCTATCCTAATGCTGAAGAATCAGGACCAGGCAATATTTTTCCAATTTTAGTGAGCCTGTGTGAACTGCAGCCTCAGTTTCCTGTTCTTAGCTGACGGGATTGGCTCCTGATCCGGTTTTCTGCTGCTAGAGACCGTCTGCTTGAAGAACATATTGTGCATTCAAAGAGGCTCTTCTGCTCATCTTGGTCATAACTAGTGGTTATTTGAATTACTGTTGCCTTCCTGACAGTTCAGAGCATTACATTCCATGTAAACCCTAGAGATGATTGTGGGAAAATCCCAGTAGATCACCAATTTGCAGGCCACCACCATCTGGAACAAACAGCCACACAACATTCAAAGTCTTTTAAAATCCCCTTTCTTCCCCATTTTGATTCTCGCTTTAAACTTCATCTTGACCATGTCTAAATACCTGAACGCAGTAGGCTTCTGCCAACCATTGAACAAGTGTCCCTAATGAAGTGGGCAGTGAGCAAAAATTTGCTTTTGTTATCAAAAAATTAAAGATCAAGTGATTTTTTTTTAAGTAAAATCTAACCTAACAGTGAATACAGAGCCTTAAATTGTTACTGTCTGCTGTTCTGCTGCTGGAGACGATTCCTACTGTATGTCCGTGTTACGACACCATTTTAAAATGTATTTAAATATTTCTGTAATGAGTTACTTAAGATTATGAAAAGCATGGCATTAAAATTATTATAAACACAGATGAAACTAATGAAAGTCACACAGAGAGACAGAGAGAGGAAAATGTTATGAAACAGTTTCTTTCTGCTGAGCTGACTTAATCATTTTGCAAATTAGCTTTTGTCATCACTATTAGAGGGGAAAAAAAACAAGGCACACATAATTTCAGATTAGCTCTATTTCCATTTGATTCTGTTATTTGCACAGAGCTTCTTGCTCTGCGCGAAATTAACACATCTGAATTCACTACGTCCTCATGTGATCCAAGGTCTCCTGTGCCAAATATCTATGAACAGAACAGCAAAACAATTTGACGAGAGCCCCTTGGATATTAATTAAGTCCTCCACTTTGCTTCCGTAGCTGCTGTATCTGTTGCCGTAGCACTTGCAGGCATGGCATTTAAACATTCCTACCACAAAATAATGAGTCTCTACAACAAATACAGGTAGAGTAAACTGGCAGGGTGTATCAACATCTTTCACATATGTAAATATGTATATACAGAAATCTGACATTTGGTTGCCAAAGAAAACCCAAAACAGCAAAAAGCCACAATTATATAAAAAATAATAATAATAAAAAAAGAAGATAAAACCCTGCTCGGAGGCAAATCCAGACAGGTCATTAATTGGAGCATTAATTAGCTTGAGAACAAAATCACCCATCTTTTCTCATGGAGGCGTGAGATTAACTATGGCACAGATCCAGGATAGAGGCGAATGAAGCTGTTGGGAGGGCTGCGGCGGATGAATTTTTATTGACCGAAGGAATGTAGTGACGGCCGCCGGTGCGAGAGCCCTGTAACGGCACAAGCTAACTTGACCCATAAATAATTGCAGTAAATGTGCTTGCTGTACACCGCGCAGAAAATGAGCGGAGGCCTGTCGTAAACAAATCACTGCGAGCCGGGAATGATAAACAGCCAAGTTACAGTGAGTGAGCGTGAGCGAGAGAGTCGAGGGTCCAGAAACGGAGATGTCAAACACATCGTCCGGGAGTCGGTCAAGGAAGGCGAAAAAGCTGGCCTCAGCGAGACGCGAGGATGTTTGGGAGGAAACGCTTGCACAGTGTAAGATCAGCTACTGCTTTAAATCTGCATAATCACAATAATTGTGGGGAAAAGACCACAGCGTGAAGTAATTACTGGCTTGAGCAGCAAAAAGCCCTTCTTAAAATAATGAACTGTTTCAATAAATAAGTCTAGAAATCACTTTTAGTGTTACAGTTGTTCTAATACACAATACCAAGGGAATAATAATGGCGTCGGTGCCAGGATTCTGTGGAGTGAGGTATTTATAACACTGAAAAATGTCCTCCGATACATTTGCTGGCTCCTTATAATTACCATAATAAACAAAGTGGAAATATATGTTTAGGGGATACGAGATATTGGTATTGTAGGACGTCCTCTAATACCTGCTAACGAGCTCCAGTGAAATATGTTCATTAAACATTGGGAGGCGCTTTGCTGAATTAGGCTCAAGAAGCTCTGAGCAAATAGATGATTGGCCTGTGGTTCAGGCGCATGGTTAGCAGTGTGGGGGAAAACAAAAATCTCACAATCTTTCTCCTAAGCACACAGTATGTGTTTTGGGGGGTTTTTCCCCCAGACAAGCACATTTGCATATTCATGAGTGACTGACACAGGCTTTATTGATGTTCACTCTCCTGTGAGAGAGAGAAGACATTGGGTTGGGGGCGGTGGGGGAAGTGGGGACTCCAATCTTGTGAGTCATCATTAAACAAAATAAACTCGTCTCTAGGCTCATAGGGAGGTCTGGGAAACATGATGAAGACGGTAAAAGAGATTTTTTTAAAAAGTCAATAATTTATATTTAACACCACACCTCTCTGTTTGTATCTTCGTATATAAACAGATATACGTGTGTTTGTGTAAGTTTGTGTCCGTGCCAGCTGAGAGGGATCAACCGCCCTCGCACTGCTTTGTGCCGCAGTGCCCCATTGATGAATAGGAAGGAAAAAGGGGGAGGCAGAGGACCTGGCAAGGTAGGTAATAGAGTAAGCCAAGAGACATCCCAGCTTGCTACTCTTTCTTTCTTTCTTTCTTTCTTTCTTTCTTTCTTTCTTTCTTTCTTTCTTTCTCTCCCCCCTTAAATTGGCCCCATGGGGCTGATCTACCTGCATAACAATGAGAAGGTCAAAGACCAAGATGAAGGAAGCTAGGAAGGCTCTGGAGACCTCATCACTGGGCAGGAAGCCTCGGTTCAGGTTGTCCCAGCTGATCCAGTCGGTACTGATGACCAGAACCACTACTGATGTCAGAGAGATGAGTACTGTCCTGCAGCACAGGAGAGAAGAGGAGCATGATAACAAGCATTAAACTTGAGAAAAAAAAGAACATCTAAATATTTTTTCTAAATTTCAGCCTAGATAGGTGCACAGTTAGCATCACATATCTCAGAACACAAACAACAGGTACGACAGCTACAAGAGAAGATCAATCTCGCACTGTTCGGTCTCTCTTCATGGACTCAATAATGCATTGAACCACACTCTTTTACCAAGATTTGACAAATAGCGTGAGTTTCCAGGAAGATGAATGTGCATAGACAATAACTGTGTCTGTTTGTGGATGCAGAGACAATGTAATTCAAAACTCTACTGCATACATATTTCCATGCATTTACATATTTAACATGAGCCAAAATATCACTTACCTAGAGAGGGCTTTTTGGGGTTTTTTTGCATTCTTTAACACTTCCCGCATTTCGTTCATGTCACACTGGGATTACTCTGCATTCAGTGTTCACTGAAAAATTTCTCAGCCATGTGAAGAGAGGCAATGTGACTTAGTATTATTCTCCACTGTGTATTTTGTCTCAATGTCACCCAGCGATTATTGTGCAGTTGTATGCATTCTCACACCACACATCGGTTGGCTGCATTGCAGATAGTGACTGCCAGCTCATATCCCATTTCAGCTGTTTGAGAGATAAATTTTGAGGGGTTTTATTATTCCACAAGCGGCATTCCCTTCCCTCAGCACGGACGACTTTTGGCGCTGTCCTTTACAATTTGCAACGGCCCTTCAGCACATATTGACAAGACATATCCAGCGACGCATTTATCAATCACATTTCAAGCGCTGAATTTCAAACGATAGCTCATCAAATCTGGCATTGATTGTGACACGGAGAGCTGAGGCATCCATCAATATAATGAAGGGCTGCAGAAAAGTCGCCGAACAGTTCGTCCGCCTGCATTCTAATTGCAGGTGAATCAATTCGGCGAAAAGGAAATGTTAAAACGCTGCGGCCAAATTCGCTTTGAAGTTTAAGATGTCTCGAGCTCTCTGTGTTCCTATTAACTAGATGTCAGACCTGTTTCAGTTTTTTTCACTTTTTTACAATGACCCCGAGATGAACCACTGCAGAAGCTTTTACGTGACATATCTGAATGACACGCTATGTCAAACTATCTGACAGCACCAAAGGACTTTTGTGAATGAACGCCGCTGGGACCATGCAGCGGTGGTGTAGTGCATCTAAACAGGGAGTGGTTCTACTTGTCTGCTGAGTAAAGTGCGCATCAGACATGGTTTGCAGCATTTGTTTAGCACTTATTTCAGGGTCACAGCTTGTGGTATGAGTAAGTAAAAGCCGGGGCTATGGTTTGCCTGGAGACCTCGCTGTGTCCATTGATTTTCAGCCTGTTCTTCTAATTAAAGGTGCTGACACTGAGTGAGGGATGATTAACATGGCTATTGACTGTGTGTAACCCTGCAACGCGCTGAACAGATCACATAACACGCACACATGCATGTACACACTCCTATAGAGCATTACAGGAAGACGTAGTACAATTCAAAGCTTGAGGAAATATTGATATCTTATGTGCATGCAGGTAAAGAAAAGCACAGTCTAACAGAGATTCTATTTCAGTGTAAGAAAATGACATACCAGAACAGGACGATCCTGTTGTTGCCTTGTTTCCAGAACCTTCTGGCAGCTTTGCCCCAGTCTGGGTAGTGCTGATCCTGGAGCATCATGTCTGTCACCTGTAGAAAGTAAAATAATGTAATAGTTCTCTGTGTGGGTTGGGGGAGAGTTGTTACCCTAACTGAGGAAGTTCAAGTGTCTTGAAATCTAGTTCACAAGTTACGGGCAGGCGATGCATGAGATTGACCTGTAGATTGGCGCATTGCCCGCAGTAATGCAGGCACTCGGCCCTGTTTTCACCTTAGCGGTGAAAACATGGCTGAGCCAGAAGCTTTTGATTCACCAGTCCATCTACATTCCTACCCTCACACCAACTCTGGATGGTGACCGGAGGAACAAGGTCACGGATAAAAGTGACATAAATTTCCTCTGTAAAATGGCTCAGCTCAGGTTTACAGTGAGAATATCAGAGCAGAATCACTGCTCCTTTGCATCAAAAGGAAGCAGCTGAAGTGGTGTGGGCATCTCATCAGGATCATTCATGAATGCCTCCCTTTGGAGGAGATGCCGGGACAGAACTGTGTGTCTCATTCTAGCCTTTGAGTGCCTCTGGGTCCTCTAGGATTAAAATGGCAAACACAATGATGTCAGGATTAAAATACTTAGGCTTCTGCCACTGCAACCCAACTTCTGATAAGCAGAAGAAATTGTCTGAATGGAGTTAGTGAGCAAACTGTCAAAAAAGTTACTGCATCCATCCATCTTCTTCCGCTTATCTGGGTCTGCATCATGGGGGCCTCCGTCTAAGCAAAGAAGCCCACACCTCCCTCTCCACAGCCAGCTATTCCAGCTCATCCAGAAGGACACTGGGGCATTCCCAAAGCCAGGTCTACCAGAGAGCAGGCCCATGTTGCTTCTTCAGACTACATCTGGCTGAGCCCTGTCGACTAAGACCGAACCACCAGGTGCTCTAACTGTGCCCCTCCCTAAGGCTGGCTCCGTGGTTGGGCCCTGGTAACCCTGCCCCAGGCAGGGTAGTCATTTCCCATAGGTTCTCTTCAGAGGAGCATGAATAGATACAGCAAATGAAACCCAAGTGTTAATTGAAAATTTCAGAGGAGGATCGTAAAGATTTTTATATTTTTTTGTTGATGAAGGCAGGCTACCTGTTTCCCTAATGATTTGGGCTAACCACCTTCTAGATGTAGCTACATATGTAATGTACTAGATAGCCATAAAAGTAATATGAATCATTTCAAAGTCAAAGGGAAACTTTGACTATGTCGTCTAAATTTTTGGGTGGTACATAAATCTCTTATATCTTATTAGTGTTTTTGAAAAATATTTCTTTGATGAGTACACGTCAATATGACTCAAAAAGTGTGCTATATAAATGCCAGTCCATTTAGATAATGTTCAAGTGTTGCCATATTACGTGTGCAAACATTCTCAACAAACAATAAGAAACAAAGTATTAGCATTTCTTACTTAAAAGTTTCCATCTAGTGGAAATCATAATCAAACCATCTGGTTTATCAGGACATTTCAATTATACATATGCTAACTACTGTATATGCTAAACAAATAACAATGCTGCATGCTGCTCCAGAGTTACAAACTTACAGTGAAGCACATAATTCTGCCTCCTAAATATACATGTATGCGTGTACATGACTCTGTGCCCATAAATCTATGTTATTTGCAGACACTCCTTAACTCAACTCGTCATGTGTATAAAGGATCAATTTGTTCCTTTCCAACCTTTCCACCACCATGGGCAAGAGCAAAGAGCTGTCAAAGGACATCAGGGACAAGACTGTAGACCTGCATGAGGCTGGAATGAGCTACAAGACCATCGGCAAGAGGTTTTGTGAGAAGGTGACAACGGTTGGTTTGATTATTTAGAAATGAAAGATAGTGATTGATGGAACACCATCAATCGCCCTCAGTCTGGAGTTCCATGCAAGATCTTGCATCATGGGGTGAGAATGATCCTTAAAAAGGTGGTGGATCATCTCAAAACCACACAGGAGGAGTTTGTTAATAATCTGAAGGCAGTTAGCGGTTACACAGTCACCAAGAAGACTGTTGCTAACACAACACTGTGATGGATTGACATCTTGCAGTGCCTGAAAGGTCCCCCTGTTCAAGAAGGCACATGTGCAGGCCTGTCTTAAGTTTGCAGAACATTCAAACAATGCAGAGAAGGTTTGGGAGAAAGTCCTATGGTCAGATGAAACCTAATTTGCTCTATCAACTTGACCTGCTGTATTTGGAGAAAAAGAAATGCCAAGTATGACCCAAAGATTACCATCCCCACCATCAAACACAGGGGAGGACCACTATGCTTTGGGCTGACTTCATGTCATGTACCATAAAAACTTGGACAAGAACCTCCTTCCCTCAGCCAGAACACTGAGGATGTCAATGTGTCTTCCAGCATGACAATGACCTAAAACATACCACCCGGGCAACAAATGACACTAAAGAAGAACCACATTAAAGTCATTGAGTGGCCTAACCATTCTCCACTCCTCAATAGAAAATCTATGGAGGGAGATTTGAGTTGCCAAGCAGCAGCCAAGAAACCGAAAGGATTTAGAGAGTTTCTGCAAAGAGGAGTGAGTCTAAATTCCTCCTAAGATGAGAGTCAACCTTGTGACCAACTACAGAAAGTATCTTACTCCTCTGCTGCCAAAAAGGGTTTCTCAACTAAGTACTAAGTCATGGAAGGAATCAAACACTTATTTCACTCAGTGACGAGCAAATCATTGTGTAACTTTTCTGTAATGGATTTTTTTCCTGGATTTTTGGTTAATATTCTCTCTTAATTAAAATGAAAGCACCATAAAAATTAAAAAATAATAAGTCTCTAACTGTGAAAACTTACAAATTTGGCAGCTGATTAAATGCTTATTTCCCTAAACTGTATGACATGTTACTCTACAGGTATACAGTTTTGAATACTGAACAGATATAAAGTTGTGAATACTGAATGATTCATACTGAATAGCATTCCATTGTTGATTTACCACTAATGACTATGTGATTACCTTGAAACATACTCGCTTCTTTCAGTATTAATGTTGTGCTTCCAACAGCTAGGGAAATTGTTTTTACGCTGTCATCCTTAATGTCATTAAAAGTCAATTACGGGAGATCTTCTTTGCACGGCTGCAGAGTTGTGTCAGAAAGCATAGCGTCTAAAGAAATTCCTCTATATTCTTTATGTGGAGCTGCTGCAGAGGCAAGGTCAATTCGTCAATAAAGCACCTCACTGCAGATAGTGTGTTGGAGAAAGAATGTGAATCAGGGAATCGATGAGATGTTTCTGGCTTTGCACCATTTCAAAAACAGACACTTCCTGTTCACTCAACCAGTAAAGCTATACTGTAAATCTGCTATGCAGAGGAGACACAGAGGTCATCTTCAAAGTGCCTCATTGAATTAATCAAATGTAAAAAAAAAGAAAAAAAAGAAAAACTTGGAGGGATTTTGGAATCAGCACTTCGTCTTGGCCTACCTCTGCCTCCCTGATTCACCTTCTCACTCGCTTCCTCCCCTGGCTCCCTTCTGACCACACTTTTACATTTCCCTTTCCCCTTCACCTCTGTTTCTTACCGACTACCTCCCTCCTCCTCTGCCTCCTTTTCTGTCTCTCCTTCCACCCGCTCTCTTTCTCTGCAGTATGTACTGTAGAATACTAATGTGACCGGTGAGAGAGCTTGTCAAGTTGTCTCAGCTGTGTGGATGCTGGTGTCAAAGCCCGCACTCCTCCCACCACAGGTAGTCCTGTCCCGCTGGAGCTCTCCTCCTCTTTTTATTTTGATAAATGAACAGAGGTAGGTTTCTTCTACAACACACTCTGTCCCTCCCTGTGCACCTATTGTTTCCTCTGACCCTCCTTACATCAGTCGCATGTTCCTCTGAGGGTTTGATAGCAGACTGAACTAGATTAGTGTGGAAAGCTGCATTGTAAGTGTGTGCCTTGATATGGCTGAGAGGATACACCTGACCTAGAAATTAGATTTTGGTACGTGAAGAATGGCTTCATTTGTATCTTGACCTGGTTGTAAACATGATTTATTAAATTATTATGATATGAACACAGCTAAAAGTAACCATGCTTGCAGCCATGCAAGGCTTATCAGATTTAATTTTTTTTTTTTTAAACACTCATTGGGTCAAATACTTGGTCATCATTGCTGCTTAGAGGTTGCTGCTGTTAACCTTTTATTCTTAGCTCTGCACCGTCCGTCATTTGTCACAGATTTGTACAAAGTTTTAGGAAGGCTGAGTATTTAGGCTCACAATTTTTTTGTTATATTGACCAAACTTATAGTCTGGGAAGGTCTATCAGATATATGTTACCAGAATTTTGTTTGCCTTCTTCTAGGATATGAAAATGATTAAATGTTTCATATCAGATATGAGAGAAAAACATTTCACTTTTATAAAATTATCAAAACCTATAAGCATGCTTAGTGGGTTAGTAATTCAGCATAGTGTATTTGAGCAGTGCATGACAGTCTATATTATATTAAATACTTGATGCTCATTGTTGCTGCTCAGCTAATTTATGAAGTTAGGGCTCTTTTTATTCTTAGCTCTGTACCATCAGGCAGTTGTCTCAGATACACTGTGTGGAGTGGATAAAATAAAAAAAAAAACAAATAAAAAAACAAAACAAAACCCAAACAATTATTATTTCTGCAGTTTATGACGATACAGGCTAAAGGTCATTAGCTTAAGTACATGCTAATGTGAAATTAAATGCAAGCTAGTTAGCAAGCTAGCTATAAAGAGCAGCTACTCTAATGAAAAAGTTCTAAAATGTTACCAGGAAAACATTTCACAATATAATGCAGATGTTTTCACAAGAATCCCAAGTTTAGCAAGACTGAGTTTTTATTTCACTTTTTTTAATACTGACTTGCTTATGCATTCGTCTATTAGATTTTTACTATTATTTTGCTAACTGTATATTTCACTTTAATGAAGCAGGCTGAACTAAATGGTTTTCTCTTGATTAGATCTTTTTTGTATCAGGTATGAAAAAAGAGTCATAAAATTATCAAAAAGTATTAGTATTTTAGTTATTCAGCATTTCCAATTATATTTAAACATTTTCTTAAATAAAGCTGCTATTCTTTATTAAACTGTGATCTACTATGCGTTGAAAAAAATAAAGCTTAACACAATTTCATTTAACAAATCATGGTGTTAGCATGAATAAGAGGTTTATTTTTCAATCATTTCAGTCATTGTGCTTTTCATAATGCAGGGTTAAAATTTGAAGGTCTGTCTTTCTTTTCATAAAAGCTGACTTATTTAATGTGGACACGGATGAGTTCAAATCTCACCATCCAGGCAGTGACAAAATCTCCCATCCATGTCCCCACAGCAGCAATCTTCATAAAACTCTCATTCCTGATGCCCATGTATTCTGTCACCATGTGAGGCCTGTAAGGAAAGAGAGCACCAGAGTGAAAAGAACATTTAAAAAAAAAAAGTAGCATAAGGGTAATAAAGGCAAGCACAAAGGAAGGTGGCAAGAGGACTGACAAAAATGAGCCAAGAGGGGGAAAGAGATAAAATGGTCACTGGGCCTAAGTATCATGATGCTAGCTGTCAGAGTCAATCAATATCAATCTAATGCCGTGAAAACAATAAGTGATGGCTCTACCTTCCATAAAGCCCATAGGATTGTAAACAATTTACACCAGCGCAATGGAATTTATGCAGTATCACTACTTTCATTTGGTCCCGCAGTGTTTGGCAAATTATCCATTTGTCTGGCAAATTTGCCTAGCTGAGTGAGCTCAGTTAACATGTGTGGCAGCACAGAAGCAAAACACATACTAGGCCAAGACACGCCATTAGAGAAGCAATCTCACATGCAATAGCATCTGATAAGAAATGACATGCTTTCTTTGGAGTCCTTGTTACACCTTCATTTCTGTACAGTAGGAGAAGATGAGAAGCTTTTGTTCAGTGCTGCAAACCCACCCACCAACCCAACATGCTCGCACACCACATCACTACATTTTCTCCAGGTAATGGCTCAGGGAGGCAGGAAAAGTGGGTCAGTCGCCTCGTATATGGGACTTGCAAGGGAGAGGAGGAGGAGAACAGAGGGGAGCGAGGAGGCCTGTTTGATCTCCTGGCAGGCAGTTGTCTTAGAAACTGAGCAGGTGGGCGCCCATCACCTCCCCCTGCAGCCTCCTCTCACCCCCGACAGGTCACACTCATGAATATAATAGATGGCAGTGGATAGGGCTCTGGCTGTGCTTTCAAGGGGTCGTATTTGAAGTCAATGGTTCAATTTCTCTTTGTTTTCTCCAGTTATTTTCTGGCCACATTAAAACACCAATGAAAATATTTTCTATAGCGCTGAAGCTTCGGAAAAAGAAAAAAGAATCTAGTAATTTATTTCAGTGCATGTTTCGCCATAATGCTTCATTTTCATGTTCACTTTGTAAATGAGCTGTTGTCACACAAGTCGAATCAATCGGACAAAAAGCCGCAGAAGGCAAGCCATTCAAGATATTACGGGTAGGAATTAGTTTTAATTAAAGCTAATTGCTCATGCTTTTCATGCTATGGGAGTGCAGATCTAAAGCACAATAAAGGTTCATAGGCAATACAAAGCAATTATGATTAATTGTAGTGCACTAGGGACCCAAATGCCAACCGTTCTTAACTACCTGCTTACTCCAACTATGCATGACATATCCTTCCCTGGAACGAAGCAGCATAAATCATATGTCATCAATGCAGCATGCATTTAACGGATTTGACAGGATTTTATTGACGAAAATGTGCAGCATTGCAGGTGACGTATTGCTTCACTTAAGGCCGCAAATAAAACGGCCTTGATTGGAATGGCGATTTATATCTGCATTAAGTCGGTTAGACATTCAGTGGCTTGGCGCGGCTCCAGTTGCCAAGGAGATCCCATTGGGAGTCATTTACCCGCAGCGAAATTCTAATCGATACTTCTGGAAATGCTGTCTGGCACCACATGGTAGGTTTTAAATCTAAAAAACTACCCTGCTGCCAACCCCTGCCCTTCTCACATATTTAATTGAGCAAATGTTACCCCTGCACTGAAGTAGGTTTTTTTTTTTCCTTTTCTTGCAGAGCACCTATGATGAGTTTGGGGACTCTTCGCACTGCATGATCAGAGGCAGAACTCTCTGACTTATTCATGCTGACTGAAAATTTAATGGCCTTTAGAGCCGGATGACCTAATGAGAGAATTCAGTGTAGTGGAACATCAGTACAGTAGCACCATGAATAATCAGCCCTAAAATGGCTCCCGTGGCTTAATCGCAGAGCCAGTTGCAATGTCAGTGCCAGCACGGCCGGCTCAGCCAGCTTTGACCCTCTGAGGAATGTTATCAGGTTTCCCACACTTGTTCAGACATAATATTCAAGGACATTTCAATGCCTTTCTATCAGTCTTGTCACATCGCATGCAAGAAATTACAATTTTGTGCTACAGAGGTTAAAGACTTACAAAGTTTGAGGAGTTTGGGTGTTACCCCTGTTTGACATTAACCAGACCATTTCAACTGTTGCACTAGTGCTGCCATCTGCAAAATATTTCGTTCCCCCCCTTTGGTGCCAAGAAATCTCACTTTTTTTACTTCTTCAAGTCCCTAGAGATACGTTTCTGGGTTTAGCTGTCACTGTAACTCAAGTTCACATCACATTATTTATGTTCCATTACGTGCTTAGATTTTTACTTACTTTCCTTTTTAATTTTTTTTTTTTTTACACTGATAATTCAAATCAATTTGATTTATATAGCACCATTTCGTATCAACAGACACATCAAAGCGCTTTCTGTTGTAAGTTAAAGACCCCACAATAGTAGATAAGAAAATTATAAACCACAACAATCACATGACCCCCTATGATCAAAGACTTGGCAACTGTGGGAAGGAAAAACTACCTTTTAACAGGAAGAATCCTCCAGGACAGTGGTCCCCAACCCCCGGACTGGTCGTTGTCATGGTACCGGGCTGCGAGAGCTGAGGCTCGGGTGTGAAATTCATGGTTTTCAGCTTTTTTTTTTTTTTTAATCGTTTTTATCGTTAACTTGGTTTCCCTGGGTCTTTTCCCGTGTGTGATGAATAAATCTTCTTTTTCTTTGGTACCGGTTCTGGTTTTATTTTGTTGTATTTATCCGCGACACCTTAAAGGCTGGTCCGTGAAAATATTGGGGTTGGGGACTGCTGCTCCAGGAGATCAAGGCTTTATGGGTTCGGGGTAAGAGCATCAATTTATCATCTTTTGGGTTAAATAATATTGACTTTTGTCAAAGTAATGCTGGCAGCCAGATTTTTCTTTGCCATTAGCCTGTGTTAATTTGTTTATTTGCATTTCAATTAAATACTGCTAAGCAAGTATTTAAATATTTTTTACTTTCAGTTCAGGTGCTGTGGCCTCATCTAGGGAGTGATAACATCTATAGCAAGTCATAGTGCAGTTTTTTGAATTATAATGTCCAGTTAGAATTTCCTAGGGCCTTCGGTTATTTGCCATTTCATTATATTAGCACACGAACATTATTAAAATCATTATGCATCGCCCAAGCAAGAGGTACGTGTTTTCCCAAGATAATGCATCGGAACCTCTTTTTAGAACTGTGGCCACATAAAACCACACGAATGTGCCACGTAACGAGACTCTCAGGAATAGTGTGGCTCTGTGCAGGGGCTTTAAATATGTATACCAATAAAAGTCTTTCCTCTACTGTTATGGCTTTTCCATTTCATCAGCAATCTGCAATGCAGCATTGTGCCCAACCCTCACACTGTGCACCGTCTTCCTCGATATATTTAATTTAAAAAAAAAGGTTTATGATTTAATTTTATTTTAATCAAATATGCCAAGTGAGAGCAGCTATGATGGTTAAGGGTATAAAACAGCATGCTGAGAGAGCTTTCACTACTCTGAGTCATCACATGCCCTCAATTTCTATTAATTTTTTCAATGTCCGCTTGGACGTATACATAAGCCCTCACACTGGCTTTTATAAACTTGTTTTCTCTTTTGGACAGGCAGTGATTTAGTGACTGTAACAACCGAGTGACCTCTTCTGCCCCGTAAAGACTGGACTCCCTCAGAACATTAAATTGCGACCTTGGCTGGCTCCACATTAAAATGCATTGCCCGTCTCCTCCTTCTGCACTACAGTACACAAGGCTGTATTTACAGTATACAACAGTGAGCAGCAGTGGTTACCAGGAAGCATAAAGCTGTCAATATTGACTCTCTTCACTATCACTACACCGTCTCCCAAGGCAACTTAAAATCTCAATCTCAATTTGTCACTCACCCATTGTATTAAACTGGCTGAAGATTGAGTCCTATAGTCTTTGCCATTCCCTTGGCTCAAGATTGGGAGTAAATATCAGTGAGCAATATCATAGACAGTATCTGGCTCTTCTACTCATCAGTTTTCTATTAGGACAGAAGAGTCCACAACTAGGTGCATGTGTATTTTACCACCAAATGCATTTACAGGCACTTCAAAGTCTTAACAATAAAACATAAAATTTTTAAACGACACATTTAAACATTTAATGTACATGAGGGACATTTGGTTAAAAGCAAATGACAAAAGGTGCTACAGACTTTACGCAGGGTTCTTTCTTTAACTTCTTTATTTCTCATGTGATGATTTCCCGGTGACATCGACAGCTCTTTGTGGATTTGTCACTAATCCCAAGCCTTTGCCACTAACGTCGACACAAACAAAGTGGCCTTATTCACAGTACCATAACAAATACAAGAGCAGGAATCCCAGTTTATTTTTAAACTTAAGATTTTCAGGCTGATTGCACTGTGCAGTCATAAAGTTGATATTCTGTGTTTGGACAACCTTTTTTTTTGTTCTTCATCAGTGACAATATTTAGATTTTTAAGTTCATAAAGGTTCATAAATCAAAAGTAGATCCATCTTAGTTCAACTTAAGGGCATATCTGAAATCAACAAAGGTAGTGAAAAACATTCAGAAAACCCTGTATAGATGTAAACCTAAAGATTTTGCTTAGTATTGTTTTATTCTGTGCTATGTGTGGCATTTGGAAATGCCAGGGAATGTTTTATGAATTGCTTTTATTGAAAAATTGACCAAAAATGTAATAGCAACACAGCACGTAAAGTTTTATGTTGTTGTTTTGTTGTTTTTTTTTGTTTTTTTTTTTGCACCAATCGACTGGCCAGGCAAAAGAATCTGCCGATTTCCAGTATTCCCAGCCCATAACGGTGACTGGCCAGTCACTCTCACATATGTCCGATTATGCCCCAGTTCATTTCATGAATGCACAACAGAGCCTGATAATTCAGTGATACAATGGCTTGTTTTAGCTATTTGCCAATATATTGGTACTGAAATAAATAAATTAACATTTTAAAAGTAAAGAACAGACAAGAGAAACACCCTTTT